GGTCATATATACCAGGACCTGGTATGCATCTGTTTCTTTCCTATCCCACTTTCCCAAACCTGGCACACAGTACAGCTAAGAAAGCTCAAATCGCGCTGAATCTCACATTACTTTTGCGGGTCTACAGAAAATCAGAAAAAAGGAAACAGGATTTAGATCGCTTTTCTTTTTGTCTGCTTTACTTCTGAAAAAAAAAAAAACAAAAAACCAACAAACAAAAGCAGACCAGACCGATCTACTTCATTCTCTTTCCTGCTGGTGAAGATACAGCTGACAAAAAGCTGAAAGACTCTTGCACATGTGTGCAACCTGCATCAGAAATGAACCTTGTGCCTGGCTTTGCCACTGCCATGTCACTTTAGCTCTGCACATCTGTCTTTTGAGAACAGGCAGTTTTGACAGCAACAGGAATTCTTGGAAAGGCTTTTTTAGGATGTAAGAAGTTTTTGCAACTACCTTGCCAACACTTCTTCCAATTTCAAATTCTAGACAACAGGTGGCAAAGAGAATCTGAGGGTCTACTTTAACCAGGCTTAGTAAAAAGCAATTTGAAGGTGTTTATATATTACATTCTCAGCAATGCTATCAACAATGGCAAAACCTATGAGCTCTTAAATACATCTGTAAAATTCTGTTTCTCCTACAATTACAGTGTTGAAAAAAAGGAAAATATTTAATAACTAACACAAGTGTATTATCCCTCTTGACGGCAGCACATCAAGTCTCTCCAAAAACATAATCTTCAGCTTTTAGTGAAAGTTGCTTCTGAGATACACAGTAGTGATAACTTCCCTTTTTAACAGGGAAAAGCTAAGCAATCTGACAAAACTACTTTACTGTCTCGTTTCCTCCTAGAGATCAGCTCTTTTTTTCTCGTTTCCTTCTCGGTTTCAATTAATTAGCATGACACCACTGCACCTAAATGGTGTATGTGCAAGACAACTAACACTTAATCAAAGGCTAGGGACACTATTATGTCATTTTCACACATGAATTGTGTAAGGTTAGAAGACAAAGCGAAGGCGAGTTAGACCTGACAAATGACTTGAACGCAGGGCAAGTCATTTTATCAATATTTCAAAGCCTAAGAAAGAAAAGTATTTTCTATGTGCATGCACACACGTATAGAAAGATTCAGAGGAGTAGAAGAACACGTTCATAGAAAGCTTGAATTTGGCGACATACTGAAAAGCATGTGTGTGATCGGATGAGGGTACTCTGCTTCCAAATGAGAAAGGAAACAAGTTTACTTTATGAGTAACAGTTAAACGTTCAAGCAGGCAATTAAAGTGCTTTACTGAGGCCATTTTGGGATACCAAACACTTTGAAGATTATATATTCCCTCATAATTCATGTTCAATGTTCCTCTAAGTAAAAATGTGGCTCCCTTTAGTTACTCAGTTATGAATTGTACTTTAAAGGCAAGGGGACGTTTTTGATAATGCACATCTTAAACTTTTCATTAAACTACCAAATTTAAATTCTACCTTTTTGTGCACTCTGACATTTTTGTCTGGCATTTTCATTAATTTTGCGACATACATAAATGTAGCTGAAATGTTAACTGATCAATACTTTGTCTCTCTCATGTAGCACTAGAGCGAAGCTCCCCAAGGACCACGCAGCAGTACAGAAATTAAATGTGTAAAATATCAAATGTTAATGTTAAACACAGCAGCACTTACTGTATAACGACTGAAAAGGCTAAAAGAATTCCAAATGGACAGATGGTAGCACAAATTATCTACAATCACATTTAAAGATTAAAGTTTGTCCCGTAAAATAATTCATTGACTCATGTTGAAGTGTGTCCTTTTACTGATAGCTCAGTTGTCCAATTATTTTTGTGCTCATTACAGTGAGAAATGACAGAACTGGAAAAAAAGAGTGTACACTTTTTTCCCCCTACGTTGCACCCACTGACATCTGCAAGAACACAAATGTCTGGTCAAGAAGCTGATGGAAATTAGGCCCAATTTAGTAGACATTTCAGTGCCCACAGTGGATTAATCTAAAGGAAAATCATCTACTTTTGCATACTCTAATAAAGTTCTTCTGCCTGAAACACACCATATTAATTCATGAATTAAAAAATATGTAAAAATTAACTGCTAAATAATCCAAACCTCTGTTTTAAATACAGAAAATAATTTGAATTTACAGCAAGGGTTCTCTCTACGTATTCTTTTCTTTTCCACTGCATTTAGGTGCTTAACAAGCATAAACACAAGCATGTAACACATTCTTGATCAGCCTCTAGATATAACAGGGCCCTATGTGCTATAATAAAGGTCTTATGGAAATGAAACATTAATTTGACATTGTTGCTATATTCTTCCTTTACTTAACAGGAAATAAATAGGAAAAATGATGAGAGCATATCAAATCTTCTGATGGTTCAAATCCAAAGTCATATCCTAGTCAGATTGACCTATGTTTCACAAGCTACTTACAAAATCTTTGTATATCCAAAAAACAACAGTTAATAATAAGTCAAGGTTACATCAGCACAAAAATACAAAAAATTACGTCTAGGCAGCAGTTATTCATCTGCTGTGAGTTACTGAGGCGCAGAAAAGAAAAAAGAGTCAAACCCTTAAGTCATTCCGACAAAATCCCCAGTGCAAGCAATGAGCTTCCAAAGCTCAATAGAAACAGGTAAAATATTGTTTAGCGGAGGAAATGCCTAATCTGTAACATTAAAAACTTAACTTCAAGGTTTCTGTACTTCTAGGTACAGCATGCTCAACAACCGTCATCAAGCTTGTGCCTTTGGCCAGATTTGAGAAAGAACCATCCTAAAACTTTGAAAAAGCATTTCCTTTCCTAAAATATCCCAAATGATGTAAAGGTTTGAGACAGCTAAGTTCTGGAGTATAAACAGTCTGCAAGTCCCTTCAATGAACATTTTCAGTCTCGTTTACCAACGTTGCGACTCTCCAAGGACAACCACTTTAAAAAGAGCTGCTGTGAGCACTTTAGTGTGCGAAGCCCATAAAGCAGATACCTGTAGCTTTTTATTCAAGGCTTTCTGTTGGTTTTCAAGAGTAGTCCTCCTTTCCAGATCTCTGATTAATTACAACCTACTACATTTCTGAAAACCGAGCTAGTCTACCAGTACTTCTTCACCTATGGTCTTCTTTAACAGTAGCCCCATCAGAAACCAAAGACATGGGGTGAAGCAGGAGAAAATAGTACCTGTGATTGTCACGCCAAGAACTCCAGACAATGGGAGATCTGAAAAATCAACTCTCACATATGTGGCTTCTGTGAAACGGCTGTAAATCTGTACTGTGATGTTATTCATCAAGCTATGCATTCACATCCAACAGGAAGGAAGAAATGGTTTGTTTCAAAGTTTACTTCTCGTATAGCATTTATTAGTCTGCCTACGGAGATCGAAACCTCCAGAACAGCCTATTTCTCATCTCCTTTCTGGCACTGACATTTCTCTGCGACATTCTCCAACCTCTGGCAGACATCAAGAGGAGATACAATTTATGTAATAGTGAAGAGATGAAAATCAAACATATAAGTACAGCTTTTTTTATGGAATCTACTAAATTCCAGTGTAACCTTAGTGCAAGTACAATTTAGTATTACAAGTGCAAGTGAGCCACTCTCAAGATTTTTCAAAGGCTTATGATAGCTATGAAACTCCAGAAACCATCTACATCCAAAGCTTATGATCAGGATAGAAGTTCATGTAGATTTGACTTGGCTGGCAAAAACTTATCAATTTTTTTGCCCAACAGAGGGATGATTTGATCCTTGGAGAGAATAACAACAGGCTGAAAAGCACAGGCCAGTCCTTTGGATGCAGAGCAGGAACATGTCTGTAAAGTCACAGCACTGATGCAGACGTAATGTATTCATAACTACCACAACCACCCCAGAGCAAAACAAATACTAAAAAGAAATTAAGAAAAGCAGGCTTTTGAGATGTATAAATACAAAAATTATATGAATAAAAGAATATATATATATATAAATAAGATCAGGAACACATTTCTACTGCAATATAGTAGAACTACAATGACATATACTCACTACAGAGACCTTCTTCCTCAAATTCCATGTTTTATGCATTTCCAACTACCTGTTACGACACCGAATTTCTTTTATGATTGGAAACAACTAGAATTTAATGGCAACGCAACTTCTTCCATGACCACAGCAGCGCATGATGAGAACAAAATAAACTCACTTGCCCCAAAGAATAGGATATCTTTCTATTTCCCTTTCTTCCATGGGTAACAGGTGGTTGTTCCACGTCCGTATTAAAATCAGATTGATTTTAATCAGACTCACTGGACAGGTGAGTACTTACTAACTGGAGCAGTTATAGCAATGTGAACATTTGAGTTTTCCATAGAAACTTGCATTTTCCTACGAAATTTTGTCATTTTAAACTGAAATATTGACAGATCGTCTTTCTAGAGCAAACAGTAGCAAGCATATTTAGATTTGAGACATCAGTAGAAGTACAAAACCCCTGAGGGTTTGAACAGCACATGCAACTATTTGGGTCCAGAGTTTTGTACCTCTAAAAAAGTTATAAGTGTAACATATGTTTATATGTCGAGGACAAAGTAATACTAATTTTATATTCATGACATATAAAAGCATTCACAAAATATTCAAAACAAGTTTTAGAGTAAATATGCAATATACAAGGGGGCCAAACAAAATTTAACCAAAGTAACGTGTGAGAAGCTCAAGATATATCATCCATAGTTCACTGACTGTATTTTGAGTTGTATCGCTTGCTTATATTATTTGTACAATTGTAAATTGAAAAAAAACCCCAACTATCTTGTTTGTGTGACATTTAAAACTTACTTTTTTTTAAAAAGTGAATAAACATGATTTGCAGTATCTTCATAATGCAAAGTTTTTAAAAAAAAAATCTGAACCCCTCACATCAACATTGTATTATCTCTCAGTCTAGAACACAAATACACAAGGGTGATTAATAATAATAAAAAGAAGATCATACCAAAAAGGCAGCAAGACTTCTTGGGGGAGAATCCCAGTCAAAGCAACTGCTAATGTAGTAGGCAGCATTTATGAGCACCATGATGCAACGCTTCATCCGGACAAAGTTTCTTAATAGTAGCTGTTAAATAAAGACAAGACAATGAAAATGTTGCAAAACCCCAAAAGTTTCAGAGGAGGCTCATGCTTACAATATTGTCATTCTTAATTTGGGTGAAGATTGAGAAAATAACATGTTAAGCTGTCTAGCTCAGAAATTGAGAAAGACAGTTTAAAATTTGAGAGATTTGGAAGACAGAGAATTTGTTAGTTGTATCAACTGATATTTGTTGAATTTAATTCTAAACGGTACACGAATTGTTCAATTTTAAAAGCCACTTGTAAAATTTCACGGATTATTTTGTTATTAGGACTTCAGAGTTTTATTAAGGAGGCAAGACTTTCCTCATTCTCAAGCACTTCAGACATTTTGGCCTTTCTTAATAAAGAGATGCTGTAGGAGACTAATTGTAGGAGACTAATCTGAAACAATGTAAAAATACTTCTCTAATCTAATTAAGATCACCTGCACCCTTTACATTCAATTTTTCCTTTATTTGTAACAAATTTGTCTGCTGTGATGTACTTCAACCACGTTTTAAAGTATATATCGAAGTAACTTTAACTGCACACATTCAACCCATAGAGAGATGGGATATAACAGTGCTGGGTTTTGATTCAAGAGAATACCCTTAAATCCTCTAAAACAGCAATTCACTTGACCAAAAAAAGTAAATAAACCAGTGAATCAGTTAATTTGTGTACTGGATAGCAGAGAAAATGTTAGGTAGGTAAGACATGCTCGCTCTTGAAAAATGTGGATGTTTCAAAATGCAACCACATCAGTCACACATAAAGATTCCCTTTTTTTCATCCCCTAAGTGGTATTGTGGTGGGGTATCTTGTGCAAGTTAATCTAAAAAAACCCAACCCAAAGTGGGTATTTAAAGTTTACCTCTCCTGCCATCTGCAAAAAGCACAATGCTATTTTCTGTTATGAAAGTGGGGAGAAGAATGAAGCTTCAATAAAAGGCCTTGCTGCTCCTTTGCAGGGATAGCAGTGCAAAATGCAGCTTTAGTAACTGCATTATTCACAACAGTAAGGAAAGCAGCATTCCACCTCTTGAAATATTTTTTAATTAAATACATCGCACGACTGATACAAAATTCATCCAGCAGATAATTTAAATTAAGCTCAAGTCTATAAGCTTTCAGCAAAATAAAAATCAGATTCAAGACCTTTGCCTTTTCACTGCAAACAACGGAAGTCTTGTTCCCACAGTCCAGCCAAAAGCCCAGTTCTCTCCATATAACATACATCATTTGTGGAACATGAAAAACTGAATCACAAGTAGTTCAAGTGGAGAAAAAGGTAAGATGTGTGTTTAAATAATTTTTCCCAAAAGATTAAAACTGCGAATGGCAAAAATATCCTGAGAAAAAAGAAAACGGGTCCAGACATTCCCTACCCACAGGACTCTCAAAAGTAGTTAAGAGTTTTAGTCTGCTTTCACCTTTGATTCAAAGCCTACTTGCCTAACTTACTTAAAATTTGGCTAAAAGAATGCTGAAAGACTCTCTACTCTGCAACAAATTGAGATCTTTCGGGTCAAGGTTAACAGCAAAAATTTATGCAAGACTTGGTTTACATGCACCTGTGCTATAATCTGATATGTGTGGAACCTGATGGTTTCAACTGTGTTCTTATTCACGTATTTCATGGAAATTAAGCTGCAATTTATAGAGGGGACACAGTAAACCCGTGTATTTTGTTTCTGCCTTTTCTGACCTATCGTATTCTTTTGTAAACAGGTAATGAAAATGTTATTCTTTACCCTCCGCAGTACGATACCAGATATTTGGGTGTGCACACTTGATATTAAGGCTTTCGGAAAGGATTAGCGTTTCCTTACTCGTTACCTGTTTAGACAGTCTGTTTTCCTCTTCAATGTACTTCTGTTCTTTGGGCATTAAGGTTCGTATGCTGGCTTTCACCTACGCATTAAAACGTGTGTCAATATTTCAGGCTTACTCGCTCCTTCCTAACAGCACATGCTTCTATTTGCAAAAATTACGAAGTTTCCAAGTCAGGGCTGCCGAGCCCGCGGCGCAGAGCCGTGCACAGAGCCATGAGTTGCTGCTCCTCGCATTAGCAGCAAGAGCCGCGGTAGCAGCAACAAAAAGAGTGGGTGTGCCAGGCAGTGGCAGAAGAGTATTCTGCAGTATACATCAAGGTTTAGAGAAAATGAGGAATGACAGAAATTCTCTACAAATCAGGAACAAAAGCTTTCGCGAAACTGAACTCTTTAGCAGTACAAAAAAGCCAAAGTTAAGACTTACAGCATTAAAAATCACATCTATTTCAAGATAGATGACCCCCTTTGTTGGCCCTGTCAGCTGCTTGTTTTTCAAGACGTAGGCTTTCTGTTCACCATTTTGAATCTGCAGGAAAAGGACATGACAGCCGTCTGTCTCGCGGTCTCCACTGAATACCCCCCGCTGACCCCTGACCCCCAGCTGCTGAAACTGACAGAGAACCCAAAACAACTGTGGCAAGTCTGACAAGTACCTGTTCATTACCAGGACCGAGTCTGTCAGGAAAAATTAACTATCATGGGATTCAACATGGCCGTGAATTGAGTATGTTAAAATTTTAGTGTTCTTATTACAGACCTTGGTTGAGAAATGACAGACACAGAGCTGCAAATCTTTTTTTTTATTAT